TATGGGATCCGAACCCGTGGCCTTGGTGTTGTCAGCACCACACTCTCCCAAGTGAGCCAACCGGCTGTCCCTATATGGGATCCGAACCCGTGGCCTTGGTGTTGTCAGCACCACACTCTCCCAAGTGAGCCACGGGCCAGCCCTATATGGGATCCGAACCCGTGGCCTTGGTGTTGTCAGCACCACACTCTCCCAAGTGAGCCACGGGCCAGCCCTATATGGGATCCGAACCCGTGGCCTTGGTGTTGTCAGCACCACACTCTCCCAAGTGAGCCACGGGCCAGCCCTATATGGGATCCGAACCCGTGGCCTTGGTGTTATCAGCACCACACTCTCCCAAGGAAGCCACTGGCCAGCCCCAAACGTTTGTACATCTAATGATACTATCAACAGAGTGAAAAGACAGCTCACAGAATGGGAGAAAATATTTATAAATCATACGTCTGATCAGGATCAAGTATCCAGAATATATCAAGAACACTTACAACTCAATGATAAAAAAACAAACAACCCAACTCAGAAATGGGCAAAGAACTTGAATAGACACTTCTCCAAAGAAGACACACAAATGGCTGCTAAACACATGACAAGCTGCTCAACATCACTCATCATCAGGGAAATGCAGATCCAAACTGTCATGTGATACAACCTCACACCCATTAGGATGGCAATAATAATTAATAATGACAATAATAATAAAAGCAGAAAATGACGAGCACTGGTGAGGATGAGAAGTTGCAACCCTCTCACACAGCTGTTGGGGATATCAAATGGCACAGCCACTTGGCAAGACAGTTTGGTGGCTCCTCAAAAAGTTAAACATAGAATTACCAAGTGAGCCAGCAATCCCACGCCTAGGGATGTACCCAAATATATTAAAAACACAAATGATCACAGCAGCATCATTCACAATAGCGAAAACATGGAAACAACCCAAGTGCCCTGTCAGCGAGTAGATGGATAAACACAATGTTATCTGCCTGTACAGTGGGATATTATTCAACCATAAAAAGGAGTACAGTTCTGATACACAGATGAACCTTGAGAACATTATGCTAAGTGATTAATTCACAACTTCTCAGGTGATAAGAAAAAGAAAAAGAAACCATTATGCTAAGTGAAAGATGTCAGTCATAAAAGGCCACCTACTGCAGGATTCCATTTATGTGAAATGTCCAGAACAGGCAAATCCATGGAGACAGAAAAGATCAGCGGTTGCCAGGGCTGGGGACAGGGAGTGGGAGCGACTGCTTAATGGGGATGGGGTGTCCTTTTTGAGGTGAAAAAAATGTTTGGGGACTGGGTAGTGGAGATGGATGCAGGATACTGTGAACATGCTTAATGCCACTGAACGGCACACCTTACAGTGGTTACGATGTCAGTTGCGGGTTAGGTCTGCTTCACCACAGCAGTGGACAAGCAGGTCTGGGCCTGCCCGTGAGCCCCCCTGGCCGCTGGCCGGGCCCCTGTCCTGCACTCACTTTTTGAGCAGGATCTCCGAGGCCCCCTTGCTGAAGAGGCGGAAGCCGCCGTCGGGCGTGCGGATGACTGTGCTCATGGACTTGCGCACCGAGTTGAAGGTGTACACTTTGTGCAGCTTATCTTCCGGCAGCTGCTGGCGCACGGGCTGGAAGTCCCGCTTGAGGTCCAGGACGAAGCCCAGCAGAGCGCACTCCGTCTTGTTGCCCACTTGGCGTGGGAGAGCGCCTTCCTTCTCTGGAGGCTGCAAGGCGAGGACAGCTGGCATGGCCCTGGGGGCCCGAGACCACCCTCCTTTCTGCCTGGGGCCCCAGCTCTTGCCCGGCCACAGCCACTGTGTCGTCAGAGGGTGGACGGTGGGAGGCAGAGGCAGGCCTCCTGTGTGGACTGGACGGCCAGGCCTCAGCTGCCACGCGATGTCAGAGACCGTCGTAGCTCTGCTCCGAAGTTCTTCAGGAGCCCCTCGTGAGCGCTCATGCTGTGCCCCACCTGGCCCTCCCCTCGCCCCTGCCCAGCTCTGCCCCGCCTGCCGCTGCTCCAGCTCACTAGTATTTTGGTGGTGTAGGCACTGTTGATGGAGATGGCATGGACCAGGAGGTCGAGGATCTTGGGGGTCAGGGCGCTGGGGGCCGGGACCTCTTTGTAGTGGGTGTCCCCTAGGTAGGACTGGACCACCGTCATGCGGTTGGTGGTGAGTGTGCCCGTCTTGTCTGAGCAGATGGCTGTGGCATTGCCCATGGTCTCACAGGCATCCAGGTGGCGTACCAGGTTGTTGTCCTTCATCATTTTCTGGAAACAGCACAGGTGGGGGTGGGGAGCGGGAGATGGTCAACGCAAACTTCCTATGTGGCTCTGCTCTGCCCAGCCAGCCCTGTGCCTTCCACTAACTGCCCTGGGGACCTTGGCTGGCACCGCGCTGAGGGAGCAGGACTGTCAGATGTAAGGAATCTCATCAAATAGGGCGATGGTCACATTCCAGGCAGCCACCGTCCCCAGAGCTCACCTGGGGCCTCCTATTCCCAGGGCCCCCTCTCTCAGGCCACCCAGCCTGCCCCCTGGCTCTCCTGTGCCCACTGCCTCCAACTGTCCCAGCATCCTCATCTCTCTGCCTCCCTGCCCTGCCTCTGCAGGCAGCACCAGCACCCTCTGCCAGCACCCTTGACCTCCTGGCCCCTCTCCTCCACCACCATGTCCTGCAGATGCCAACCCCCAGGTCTACCCCAGGGCCTGCCTGCTTTCCGGCTCATCTCCTTGTGTCAGGGAGCAAGGTGGGGAGGGCCGACCCTCTGTGCGGATGGCTCAGCTGAGCGGCCTCCGGCCGTGTTCAACACCTCCATCCTCCCCGAGTCCCAGGCACTTAACTGCTTCCCACCCCAGTTTCTGGGTCTGTGTAATGGGATCCACTGAAGTATTATTATTACCTTGACAGAGTACGCTAAGGAGATGGTGACAGCAAGAGGCAGGCCCTCCGGGACAGCCACAACAAGCACCGTGACGCCGATGATGAAGAACTTCACAAAGTACTGCACGTACACCGGTGTGCACTCAGCCAGCCACGCCCGGCCGTCCGCAACAAAGGTCTCGATCACAAAGTAGAGGACCAAGATGATGACGGTGATGGCGGACATCACCAGCCCTGCCCGGCCACGACAGGAGGCCACAGGGGGTGGGGCAGGAAGAGGGGTGCCATGGGGGAGGGTGGGAGGTAGAGGGGAGAGGAAAGAAGAGGTTAAGGGGCGCTGTAGCTATGGCTGGCTCCAGCCAGGTCAGGGCCTTTTGAAGGGCTCATGGGCTTGGCTTGGGTTTTGGGGCTTGGTTCAGCAGGGTGAGCATGGGCCTGTTGGCACAGCAGCCTTGGACACCTTTGCTTGAGTCCCCCAGGTGGGTTAGGGGTGGACAGCAGACAGCCTGTGCCCGGGTGGCACTAGAGGCCGGCTGGGGAAGACCAGCAAGCCTAGGCCCACTCTTGGAAGTTGGGGTTCTGGCCAGCAGGGCATGACACCACTGGCTGCCTTCTGCCCTTGCTGTGGGCACAGCCTGGAGCCTCGGGCAGGGGAGCCCACTGGGCAGCAAGTGAGCATGTGACCTGGGGCTTCAGTGGGGGGTGGACATCCAGGTCCACTGGGGGAGGGCTGGGCCAGGCTCTGACGGCCATTGCTGCCCTGGCCTGTTCCCCAGCTGCCTGGCCCACAGCACCTGCCACATCCCTTCTCACTCGTTCTACATGGCCTGGCCTCATCTCCAGGAGCCCAGTGTCCTCTACACTTGGCTGGTGGACCTTGACCCACCACCTCCAGCTGTCCCTACCTGCTTTCCCGATCTGCACGGCCAGCTTTGTGAGCTTCCCCTGCAGGACCGACTTCTCCTTCTTGGGCACACTGGCTTTCCTTCTCTCCCGCTCCTCCATCTCACCACCCTCGGCACTCTTCAGGGGCTGCATTTCCATGGCAACTGCCCCATCCTGCTTCTTAGCTGCGCACAGAGGAACCCCGCGGCCAAGGTCAGGGCTCAGCCAGGGTGAAGGGGCTACAACAGGCTTTCACAGGGAAAGGCATGCCACAGCATACGCGAGCAAACGGGATTCAACAGACTTCTCTTATTTCCAAGTTAAACACGGTGCAGAGCGTCCAGAGGCCTCCCTCCTGTGGCCTCCTGAGCCCAGACCCTCGCGAGGTGTGCGGGGCGGCTCCAGCACTGTCCTAGGTGGGACAGAGAGATGGTTCCCTCGGGGCCTCTTGGGAGAAGGGAGGACAGACACAAGCACAAGGAACTTGGGCACACAGACAGGGTGGCCAGTCCTGGAATGCCCTAGATCTACAGTACCCCAGAGCACAGGCCTGTGGCCCAACGATTGTTCTGCCCATTGGTGGCCAAGCCGCCTCCCTGCTCCCCTCAGGGAGGTGAGCAGCCTGGGTGCCTGTCTCTCCTGGCCTGGCCCTGCCCCTGCTCAGGCTTCCTCTTCCCTCAGCCTGCTCCCTGGCAAGCCTCTCCTGTCTGTCCAGCCACCTCCTGCCTCCCCCTGGGGCACATGGCTCCCTTGTTCCTCCCTGCCAGGTCCTGTGCCCTCATCCTCGCTGCCCTGCATTGCACAGCCTCCAGGTCTCCAGCTGCACTGGCCACCTTACCTGCTTCCTCCGCCCAGCCCACAGATCCAGGGGTCCGTGGACTTGTCCTCCCTCACCACTCTTGTCCCGCATCCGGTGAGGCTCTTGGCACTACTACCATCACCTCTGCCCAAGGCCACTCACCATGGCTCCTTCCTTCCAGTAGTCTCAGGGATATGCCAGGCCCCAGCCAGCTGGGCCACTCTAGCCTTGTGCCCACTATTGCCACTTCCCCCAAATCCAAGGTTCCAGCCATTGGGCTGTCCCCTGCCCCAAATGCTTTCCCAACCCCCAGTTCTCCTCCGAGCTCCAATTGGCTTGTGTGACCCTGTCGCAGTCCCTGGATAAGCATACATCCTGCTGCACTTGGGTCCTGGCCCGTGTCTACCTCTCTGCACCGTGACCTTCCCGAGGGCCAGGACCATGCTTTATTCACCTAGAACTGGCCGCTGATTTGACCTGACATCTCCTCTCCTCCTTAGGCCACCACCTGCCATTCAGCCATGTCCCCTGCTTCCTGCATCTCACAGCCGGGTGCATGCCCAGCCACAGAGTGTCAGCACCAGCAGGCTTTTGGGGCTGAAAGCAGAGTCAGGCCTCTGCCCCTTAGATGGCTGTCCCTGTGGCCCACAGGCTCAGCTGGAAGGGAGCTGACGTGGGAGACCCAAAGTCTGGGACTCAGAGCTTTGGGTGAGTCACCCTCTCTGCACCTCAGTTTCCTCATTTGGCCAAAGCAGACCCAAGGTGCGCACTCACAGGCAATCTTTACCCTCAAGCTATGCTGATGGCACGGGTGTCCGCTAGCCTTCCTCGTCTAGGGAGCTGGTCTGAGCTTCTGGCAGCGTCCTCCCTCTGGCCTAAGAACGCATGGTGTGCCAGGATGGGACTGACCGTGCAGCCAACCCACCTGGTCTCTGAGTGTTGCTCCCACAACCAGGCAGCGGCCCGCCCCCCACACCACGCCCTGGGCCAGCCCACCCCCGGCTCCCGGCAGCCCTGAGCAGAGGCGCGTTACCTTTCGTCTGGCTACTCTCCATCGCCCCATCCTGCTGCTTGCCTACAATGGAAGAGGAACGACAGACACGGAGACTTGAGGACATCCACGTGGCCCTGGCACACACACACACACTGAGGACAGCAGGCAGAGCAGGGACACAGACCATGCAGCCTGGGGACCACACGGAAAAGGGGTAGAGAGGAGAACGACGGGCCTGATTGCTGGTGGCCCTGACCACTGCCCAGGGCGCGGCCGTCTTGATGCCCTGTTTTCTCCAGGCTCATGCTGTCACCAACTCCCAGCATGTGGTCACCATGAACACTCTGGGCTTCCTGAGCAACACTACTGGCCAGGGTTTCCCATGGGGCCTTGACCCCAACCCTACAGTGAACCCCTAAGCCAGTCCTGGACAGGCCCTGGGTCACGTGTGGCTGGCAGTGGGAGGTTCCAGGAAAGCCTGCTGTCTCAAGCAGGGCCCTCCTCCAGTTGGGATGTCTGCTCCCTTCAGAAGCAGCTCAGGGGTTGATCTAGATGATTCCTAAGCCCTGGTGGTTGGGCAGTCAGCACCCAGCCATCCTGGCCTAGAGACCAGCTTTCTCTGCAGCCACTGACAGCAGTTCGCTCGGTGTGTGCTTTAAGGGACAAAGAAATGAGACTCTAGGACACTGCCTGACCTTGGGCACCTGCCCTGCTGGGGGCCTCCAAGTCACTGGTCAACCCATGGTGGAGCTTACCTGTGTGCCCAGGGCCACCCTGAGGGAGGGCCAGCCTGAGCACCAGGCACCCAGCAGCACTGGAGGGAACGTGGGCAGTGGACAGGCTGGGCCCCAGATGGACCTGTCCAGGGGCTCAGGTAGTGGGTGCAGCCCTCCTGGGGGAGACCCAGTGCCAGCCAGCCCTGCTGAAGGCTGTACAGGGGACAGCAGTAGAGGAGCTCTCCTGAGGGCTGCATCTGCACTGGCCCCAGATCCAGAGATGAACCTGTTGGTCACCACCGAATAGCTCATGTCCCTGGGGATCCAGGGACACAAATAGGGTGCCAGGTGCCTAGGCAATGGAGTTGGGGTGTGGGGTCTCCAGGGAGGAGGGAGAGGCCCCCTGCCTGCTGGGGATGGGGCATGGATTGGGCCTTTTCTCCCCAGGACCCCTGTGAAGGTCACGGGGGTAGTTCAGAGGGGAAGGAAACTTCTAGTGGGGGAAGGGAGACATCCAAAGACACATGATGACAGTACGATGACAATACGGCACAACAAGAGAGACGTTGCCCTGGGCCATGGGAGCCCAGAGGAAGGACGGACTACAGGCCCAGCTTGCAGACAGGCCAGGGGAGGCCTCTGGAGGAGGTGGAGCGGGCGGCTGGGCTGAGCTTGGCAGGAAGAGGGAGAGGAGGAAGGACAGCTCGAGGAGGAGAGTGCACAGGAGCTGAGGTCAAAGGCAGGAGACGGGCAGGCGGAGCAGGTGGAAAAGGGCCCACGGAAGGAGGGCGGCGAGGCTGCAGGGGTAGAGGCGGCTCTCCCCAGAGCCTGGCCACCTGCTGGTCCCCTCCAGGACCTTCTGGGTGCCCCTTCTTCGGGATGCTGCCCACTCTGACTCTTAAGTAGCACAGCCTGAGAGTGCTGGAGAGGAGCAAGAGGAAGGGCATAGGACCAAGCTGTGAAGGGCACCAACATTTAAGGGACACCAGGAGAGTGCAGGTTCCAACAGGCCAGGGAGAGAGCCTTGGGGGAAGGTCCCCAGAGAGCCGTGCATGGGAGGGAAGGAGGACGCCACCAGGCCAGGTCAGCTGGGCTTCCCTGGAGCCAGTCCTGGGGACTCCAGCCCCGCCTAGGACCAGGGCCCACCTATGCACCTGTACACCTGCAGGGTTCTCACTGGGCAGGGACAGCAGGCTGAGCCCTACAGGGACAGGGGCCCTGGCCTGCCAGGAGCAGGGAGGTGCCCACGCAAGGAGACGCAGGCCCCGACTGCCAAGAGAGAGGGCTCACAGAAGTTTCTAGGCAACAGCAGCTTGTCCAGCTCGCCCCTCACCGCCTCCAGGAGCGGGGAGCTTCACAGGGTGGTCCGGGGCTGAGGCAGCTGGCACATCTTTCCTTATGCTGACCTGTCCCTGTGTGGGGTGTGGGTGGGCCAATCCCGCTGCTCTCTCAGCCTGTGGCCTTGGCTGGATGTCCCGTCCCTGGCTCGTGGGCCCAGGGCCCCGGAACACACTGTGCATTCTTTGTACGCTGAGGTGGGCCAGGTGGAGTCTCTCAGAGGCGAGGAACATGTTTAGAAAACTCCGCTCCCTCCCCGTGTTTTGGCTGCAGGAGAGGCCTGAGGGCAGACCCGGGCCAGAGGGGG